TTGACGATTATATTTTGACATTTATTTTGGGTGTAAATGTGAAATAATGTATATTTTATACAAAAGTTAATTCACTTTACAGTATATTCTGTGAAGCGATTTGAGACGTCTCGAAGACATGATAAGGTGCTATATCAAATGCAAGGATTATTATGTTCAATTAGGATTGGAGTAAGTCTGGTGAAAGCATGGTGACGTGTGGAGTATTCCAAAGTTTACAGTATATTGACTGACAGCAACATACGTTATCTCAGCGTTGAAAGATATCTTTTAAATAAAATTGCCAACCCACTTATAGCTCAGTAAAAAAAATCTTGTTACACTCATGGTGACTCATGCATTCCAATACAGACTAACCATATGAAAATAAGCAAATTAGCCCTACGATAAGATTGCTATAATTAAGTATGGATGCTTGACGGTCTTGTCCTGCATGAATTAAGTTACTGTAGCTTTGTAACCGTACATGTGCTGCATCTCCACTGAAAGCCTATCCCAACCCTTGGATGATAATGGATCATCATCCCATCATTAAACAGTAGATTAGTCTTAAATAAAATAGCCTTTGTAAATTACATTTCAGTTTTCAGATTTTCTGTTCAAATCAATGTGTCCTAGCTAACAATTGCACAAAATAAAAAAAATTGGTCCTTCACCTTCTGTCTGTGGAACATTGCTTTGTGCAAAGTCTGCCACATCCACCTATAAAATATACATTCAGTGTACTTTATCCTTGGGAGTAAATCCTGTGAAGCACTTTGAGATGCCTCAACAACAGGATAAGGCGCTGGATCAAGTGTAAGACATTATGTACATTTTCATATTTCTTCAGTCAGCTGGACACAAGTGTGTGGCTCAATTAAAAACAGGCCCCCTATTTAAAGTAACTTATAAAGGTACAGTATGAAACTGCACAGAAATTACTCAGTGGTGCCATAGCAAGAAAATCTGCACAACAACTGGCCGGTGAAGGTTAATGGCCACAGCCACTGCTCATTACCAACAGAAATAGTAACCATTAAATTCACTGCTGGAATAAAGCTCCGATGAGGTAAACTTTCCTTTCTAAATTCAAAGTCACAGTGCTTACTGTATGAGCATGATTCCAACAAAGCCACTTAATTCCAGGCAATGGGGGTGGGGAGGAGAAGAGAGAGGGTCATCAGGGATGCACACCTTTCATCTTTGTGCCTGCAGTAAATGTCTTTAGGCGTGAAAAATCACTCCCCTTCCTGATATTTGCATGCAGAACACACGCTTTCAAGTAAGCAGACTCTTTCACTCACACCAGTAAAGGAAGGGCCAGCTGAATTCAAAAAGAATACTCGAGTCACTTTCTGGACTTAACTGCAAATGCTCTCTAGTGATGTGGTATTAAGTCACAAGGACCAGCCTGCTATACCCGCTTTGTACTAAAGCACCCAATCTCAACCAGGCAGTGCTGGTACTGCCACTTATCTCAGCATTTCTGGAGCAGATAAAGCAAGAAAGTTTGCCAGGTGTGGGACTTTTGGTCCCTTTGCTAAAACGAAATGCAATAAATTCCCATACCAAGATGTGACTCACGTCCAATATTTAATCTAGTTGAGTGTCAATATGCATGAGATACAGAACTGCTCTAAACAAAATTTTGCAATAAGTGCCACTTCTTATCTGCTCAGTTTAGTCAGTGCTGCAAAGTGTACTAAATTGGTATGTAAAATTGTATTTGCCCATTATCACCTTCCCTGCCCCATTGAAATCTATTGGCTGTTGCAGATTGTGCTTGTCCAATTCCCAAAGAAGGCCTTCAGTAAAGAGCAAACCATTATTCCTGCGAGAAAACGATGTACAGTAAAAAAAATTGTATAAAAAGACATGACAAACATCACACTGGTGAATAAAGGACTGCTTGGCTGAATTCAAAAAGAATACTCAGTCACTATTCTAGTATTTGCTTGGTCTGGAGAAAAGCAGACTTGGTCTGTGTTGTGACAGCAGCGCTGGATTCAGTTGAATGCTCCCAACATTTTGCATTTTTCTGCCATTCAGTCATGCATTTTTGGTATTGTTGAAAGAGGTGCGAAATTACACTGCATAAGATGAAGACCTTGGTGGTCTCCCAAAGGATTCAAGCAAAAAAGCCAGCTCCTTTGTTCATTGGGAGAATGCAATCCATTTGGCCATTCAAACGAGAAATAAAAGCAACAGGCCTGGGAAGGGATGGAAGAGAATAAGAGATGAAACAGAAAGGAGGGGTGGGGGTGGAATAGTTTGGGTGTAATTACATTTGTTAGCATTTCATATAGCTGGCTGCAAATAATATCTTGCTATAATGCTTCAGAGTAGATGTTTAAGTTTAATGCGTTGATGCTTAATGTGCGAATCTGATGTTATTATATAACCTGGCTCTCTTCTCTAAACTGGTTTTAAATATTAAACTACATGGCTTGGGAGTAGTGTAGACATCAAATCTACACAATGTATAACGATTGCAGGTATACAGGTCAAACCTCCCTTTCAAATTTTGTTTTACTTGGCTGAACATTTTAGGAGCTCAAGAGGGAAATCCCATGCACTACATCAACATTCCACTGGCAAGATTCACACGTAGCATTCCATAACTGAAGTAGACCAACCATGGACCAATCTTCTCTTTCTGCAATTCATCTTAAAAGTTTCATCCACATACAATCCCCCTGCAGTGAATTTCACAGGAAACCAATGCACCAAACACAAAGACTGGCTGAGAAAACGAAATGTTCTAAGAAATTAAACTTTTTGTTCCCAAATAGAACCAGGTTGATATAGAATGGGAAATGTTTTTTTTTAAAAAAATAGAAAAAGTCAGTTAGACAACAACAACAAAATTACATTTATAGAGCGCCTTTTCTCGTCGGGAGGACGTCCCAAAGCCCTGGACAAGGCAGAAAACAAGACTTGTAATGCAATGTGTCATATTTTCCCTTATTAGCACTTTAAGGATCATTAATACAGTCATTTATTAACCTCACATAGTGTTTCATCTTTACCAACTTGGTGAATCTGAGGAAGTAACAACATGTTAAAGTGGGTGTTTTTAAAAAAAATTGAAACTTTCATCTATGAAAGACCATTGCTTAAATGGCAAAGTTTCTGAAGTAATGCAACCAGGCGGAGTCTGGGCTCATTTCATCAAAGTAATGCACTACTTCAACTTTCATTACTTGTCCGATTACATTTACATTACACCTCCAGTCAAATTATTCATAGTGTGAACTCGGGGAGCTTGGAATGCTATACTCCTCCTGCAGTATGGATTTTCACAATCAATCAATTAGCCAAATATTTATCAAAAGAGACAATTATGGCATATATTTAAAACGAGTGCTCTTTCATCTGAGATTTGCACTGCATTCAGCCTTATATTGCAATCTCTCTTTAGCCGTCTGCATCTGATTAATCAGTGCAAAAGTAGAAGTCTTAACACGAAAGCCATTCTGATGGGGACTACTTAAAAACAATAGCCCAATAGCTTTTCTTTTCACACCTGAAGTGCAAAGACACGATCAATTTTCCACAGGATTAGATTTCAACACTAGCACCACGATTCTCAAACAAAGAAGATTAAGATTTCCTGTAATCGGCCTTTTCAATAGCTTAATTGTCAAGGTAATTAGGATCCCTTTTTAAAAAAAGGCAAAACATTGTTGCCACATAGCATTTGGTTCCTTCTGTTCCCAATTAACATTTCCCCCCCCACCCCCCCATTCCCCAGTCGATTCGGTCTTTGAACAAAAATGTATTGGAATTCTTTGTAATAAATTTAAACTTGCAGCGAGCAGTCTGAAGTTTAAATCCAGGTTAATCATTTAGTCATTGGCTTGGTGCTTCGTTTAATCCGTCGACTCTTTCTGCCCATTTAAAGCAGTTCCAGAAATGCAGGCTGTTGGAAGTTTTCAAGCTGCTGTCTTGCCCTGCCTGGAATTGAACTCGGGTCTCTCACTTGCAAAAGCGAGTGCTCTGACCACTGAGCTGCAGGACTGCACAGGAAACCATATTTACGGTTTTAAACTGCTAAAAGCAGGCAACGGGAGGTCTGCCGTGGTGTGGTGCGAGACTGGCTGGCCGTGTCATCCCAACACACACTGACCCACAAAGGGGGTCATTTAGGAGTCCTGTAGCTCAGTGGTTAAGAGCACTCGCTTTGCAAGCGAAGAGACCCGAGTTCAATTCCAGGCAGAGGGCGAAACCTCGGGCAAGTTTCCTTACTCCACCCGCCTAATAATAACCCCTCCAAAAAACCCAAAGCAATAATAAAAATTGGTCATTTTCGATCCACGACTGCTTGTGGGACGCCGCTGTGCGCGATCGGCTGCCGCGTTCGTCCACGAGTGTACGGTCAATCCCCTTACGGTGCGTTCTGCGAAGCGCTTTGGGACGTCTCGAAGACGTGAAAAGCGCTGCATCAAACGCAAGGGTTATTATTATTATTATTATGATTATGATTATGGAAGGAGTGTGAGTGAGTGTCAGGTCGGGGTTCCAGTCTGCACGGTTCAAACCCAGTCTCCAGCTCACCAATTCCAGGCAGTCTGGTTGCACACCGCTGTGCAACGTTAATCGACGCTCTCAGCCTATTGCGGCTCTTGATCGCGTTCGCGGTCGCTTCAAAGTTAATTTGCGAACGCATCAAATAATTTTTTTTTTTTTTGGTGGGGGGGGGGGGGGAGGGAAAAAAAAACGGTTCGAATCGGCTTTGAAACCTCGGCTGCTTTTTTTTTCTGGCTTCGTGCAAACGTGCATTTTTTTTTAATATGTTGTTGTTTTAAAAAAAAACACAGACACCTACACGCGATTTTCTTTGAAAAGGGGGAAAAAAAAGTGAGTCATTTTTTTTTGTTTGCAAGAAGCAATACCTGGTCTGAGCTCCACATCTAACCCCTCTCTCTCTCTCTCTCTCTCCCCCCCCTCCCCCCACAACTCACACCCCCCTCCCCACTCCCCACACACACACACATGCAAAAAAAAAACCCACTCACCAGATATTTCTTGATGAGGGACGTCGTTGAACCCTTTGGAGCTGTAAACTTGTCTAACTTCTGTGCAGCTGCGGGTTTGGAGTTGCCCGAGAACCGAGGCACAGATCGCAGCTAAAGTGCAGACAATCGTGGAGATGTGAACCCAAGACATGATCACAGAGGGGGAGAGAGAGGAGGGGAGAGAGAGGGAGAGAGAGAGAGAGAGAGAGAGAGGGAGAAATAATGCCCTGGAGAAACTCAGCACCACGTTTTAGAGAGTGAGAGAGTGAGAGAGAGAGTGAGAGAGAGAGTCAGTCGGTGAGTTGGGGCCTCGCTGGGGTTTGAAGAAATCTCCAGTTCCTGTACAAAGGAAAGTCCACGGTATCCAGTGACTTGGGATCTTCAGTTTGTTGCCTTGCGGTCACAGGGCTTTTTGGGTGTCGAGCCAGGAGGGGGGGGAGGGGGGGGGGGGTGTGGGGGGGGAAGGAGGGGGTTGGTGTGGTGTGGAGTGGTGGCTGAAGTTTCTTACTCTTCCCCCCACCCTCACCCTCACCACCACCACCACCGAGCACAAGGCGGCTTCTCGGAAGTCCTTGGGGGGAAAAAAAAGTTGACCAAACCTTGGCTGCGAGATTGCTCTGTGTGTGTGTGTGTGTGTGACTCTATCTCTCCCTCTCTGTGTGTCTCTCTGTGTCTCTCCCTCTGTCTGTGTCTCTCTGTGTCTCTCTCTCTGTGCCTCTCTGTGTGTGTGTGTCTCTCTCTGTGTGTCTCTCTGTGTGTGTCTGTGTGTGTGTGTCTCTCTCTCTGTGTGTGTGTGTCTCTCTCTGTGTGTGTGTATCTCTCTGTGTGTCTCTCTATCTGTGTGTGTCTCTCTCTCTGTGTGTCTCCCTCTCTGTGTGTGTGTGTCTCTCTCTCTCTCTCTCTTTCTCTGTGTTTGGCCTCTCACCGCTCACACACTCACTCCACCCTGAAACTTCAGGCTCTTCGCCGACCTTTCCATATGGTTCACTAAGACTGGAATATCAGACCGGGTTTGTTAAGAAGATCCCCAAAAAAAGAAAAACGCGGACTGGAGTCTATGTAGAGAGAGAGAGAGGGAGGAGGGGGGAGAGAGAGAGAGGAGGGGGGAGAGAGGGGGTGGTGTGTGGTTGGAGGGGGATGGATTTAGGCATGAATTGCTTCAGGCATTTCTAGTTTTTTTTCTCTCTCTCACTCTCTCTCACTCATGTGTTGGGATGGTGCTCAATCTCTCTCCCCCCCCCCCCCACAAAAAAAAAACCCACCACCACCACCATCAGCAGCAGCAGCACCAACACAACGAGAAGGACTGGTGGGGACGCGATAGTGAATCAGTGCGCAGCGTAACAAGATTTAATGACCAATTGCATTGAGTTGTATCCATTCATTCCTCTCCCCCCCCCACCTTCCCCTCCAACCCCTTCCCCCCTCCCAACCCCCTCCCCAATGAATCCAGCTCAGAAATCCAGTCTCATTGCCAAACTCTGTGCCTCTAAATCAAGCCTTAGGCACAAACTCGTCCCAGTCAGTCATATTATGGTGGGGAGTGGGGGAGTGGGGGGGTTGGGGTCCCCCTGATTTGCCACTTATATTAATAAGTTTGCAGACTGTTCAGAAGGTTTCTTTTTTTTTTGGTGGGGGGGTTGTTTGTGTTGCCGTTTCCAACGTGCTCCAGACAACAGGTTTGCAGGTCGATTTGTGAAGTCAATCACAACGCCCGGGAGAGTGGATTGGGTTAGAAATGCCACACAGGGCGGAGGGGGGGGAGAGGAGGGGGAGAGGGGGAGGGAGGAAAGTCATTCAAATTACTGAATGGAAACGTCACGGGCGGATTTCTTTCTTCCCCCCCAAAAAAAAGCCATTCATTAAAAAGAGTTTCCACAACCGGTCTCCAAATCCAAAACAATTTAAAAGTACTGTCTCCCCACTCAACCCCTCAATCCACTCCACTCCCCCCCCCCAAAAAAAAACAACTGTTATTAATCGTCTTTATTAAAACGCACCCACTTATTTGGGGGCTCTTATTGATGGTCTTCAGCTCCGTGTGAGGTTATAGTTAAGTCGTTAACTGCGAAGGTTAAACGCTGTGCAAATGGGAATCTGGAGATCACCATCAATGGAGCATCTGTGGCAATGTGTGGCAACATCCAGAAGCTGTGTGTGTGTGTGTGTGCACAAAACAGTGGGAAACATCCCACACAAATTTCTGACCACCCCACTCCCCCCCCCCCCCCCCCAAACACTTCCACACATACTGCTTTTCTCCTTATTAATAAAAGGCACTGCAGCAGAAGGAGTCGGGCAGAAGGAAGTTGTAAAACTACATACAAACACGCCGAATAACCATACTTGGGAATTGTATGCTGTGTGTATAAGCGGTAATAACGGTAATAACGAAGTATATTATTTTTGGTAAGAGTATCGCGTGAAAGTGTCCAGCAAATTAAATGTGGCAAGAGTGCCAAAGTTTGGGGAATTGTTGGCAGTTTGAACCATACCCACTAGGAACTGACTGAGACTTTGCTCCCTGTTGTTATTTCAGTGTTGCGTAGATCCAGAACAATATGGATAAAATGTGGGGTGGGTGGGGGGATAAGATGGGTCGAGACTACCCCCAAGTCAGTTCACCTCAGATCCAAACAGCCATCACCACGTAGGCCTGAACTTCTGTCATATCTGGGATTCAAATCCATATCCTAGACATGAAAGAATAACATGCACAGCACCACCCAGCCTTCTTACAGGTGAGTAAATGAACCACTGAAACATATTGTTGCAAGTTAATAACACTACAAAGTGCCTAAACCATAAGGGATAAAGCATTGTCTACATTGCCCTTCAAGGTAGTGGCACATTGAGCTGCTGACAGAATATCGTACATTGAAAGATGAAAGCATGAACCATTGTTTAATATGAGATGTTTTGCTGCATTCGGATCAAGTTCCAAGCAATGTCATTTTAAACATACAATATAGAGAAATTCTCAACATGCTTTTTCATATTTTGCTAGTGAAGGTGACATTGCGGTTAACAATAAACAACAAGCTCCCATGGCTGAAACTTATAATCTCACAATGCACTGGCATTGACATTTATTTTACTTGCTGATGCAGGATACATTATAGCTTCTATACAATACAGTTGTAGAATACTCCCCATTAACTATAAAATCAGTCACCAAGCATTATAATTACTGTGAAGTGCATTGAGGCATTTCAACTTCATCGACCCTATAAAAATGCAAGATCTTTCCTTCTTTCTATCTAACTTGCATTGAAATAGATCTCAATGTAATTACTGCTGCTCAAATCTCATTACAATGCCTCATCAATTCACATTGTCTGATTTAACTGTAAAGGCTGGCCATTTATCATTGTCAGCATTGACAAGCATGCCTAAAAATAAACAAAAACGGTAACCTCCTAAACATTTGTTACATTGGTATTATTGATAAAGAATAATATACTCTGGAAGTGTTTTTCAAGAAAATAACACATTTCAGCGTAGAAATTGCATGATAAACTATTTGTTCTATTCTTGATGTTTTCGGTCAGCCATTCAAGACTCTTGTTTTATTGCGACATTGTGATAAACCTCAGGCTGTTTGTTTATCCCTCATGTAGCATATTTCAATTATCTTTTATTTATTTACTATGTAATTCATCTAAAGGGTTCTGAGAATATTATGAAACACAAAATATCAACAAAACCTGGGACTGATTTTTTTTATTAACTAATTTTATATAATATGAAAGAACAATGGATGTCAGAGAGTAAACTTGAGGCTGTAGCCTATAAAACCTAAGAGAAAAACTCAAATCTTTATATCCGCACACTGAAAGGTGAGATCAGATTACGGGCCCCAAATTACGCCTTTTTTTATTTCTAATACATCCTGTATATTTGTTGATGTCATCAAGTTTTCCAGGCGTAACATTTTTATCTGTGTCTCTGTGTCTACAAACTCTTTTTAGTTCATAACCAGCATTCGACACTGATTTATTTCTGTTCAGTATGTTGTGGTTCCTGGGTGGTGGATAAAAATATCCCTCCCTGTCAGTAACAGTGATAAAAAGGGGGTTGATAGAAGCAAGGGTTGACACATTTTGGCAAGTCCAAATCTAAAGTGGGTGAAGGTTAGGGGCCCAGGTGGAGTGGAGGGGCATTATGCCTTCAGTTTTAATTCATTTGAAAACCGTAAAAACTTTAATAACTAAGGCTTCTCCATCATAGGGTATAGAACAAGGGATTATCCTTCATGTGGGAGCCTAAACAATAACCATCTGAAGGTGATTTGAATTGGTTCATCAATAAAGCCAAACCCAAATTCTCTCCCAAATTACACACAGATATATGTCCAAGCAGATAGAGATCAGGAGCAGGATCTGTGGCTGATATTTCCTTTCCTAGCCAGAAGCCCTGAGATCAATTGCAGTGCCATTAGTGTTACCACTGGTGAATTTAGCTGAGATTCAATACAGGATCTTTGTGGTCTGTATGCCTGAGTAGCACACCACACATCAGTTTCCCACCAAGTCAATAGAAAAGTTATTATTGGTGTGTTTCAGGGTCTTATGCATTTCTACGGTGAACTGACACCACATAGCAGTGTAGTTAGCGCAGAGAGAAAAAAATCTTATCTCCCTTCCAGCTTGGGTTCCCTCTCCATCTCTGTAAAGCACTTTGAGACAATCTCCTTACATGAAGACATATTGTAAATGCAAATTGTGATTGTTAAAACATGAGTGAAAGTCATCTTCATAAATGATGAAGACATACAATTACTTCATATGGTTTGTGAATATATATCTGGAGGGAGTGGGGTGGGGTGGCGTTGAGATTATTTAACATAAACATTGAGCGAGACAATCAGTGAAAGATTGTTTTCCTCAGATCAGTGGATGTAAGGAACAGATTCCCAGGAAATCCAATTGATTAGCTCCTTTATCCGGTTGGGAACACAATTCAAGGTTTTGGATTATGTATAGACTAAGGTCATTATATACCTACAGCACAAAATGACTCCTGTGCTGTTCATACATGGAGTTTAAGTATTGTGGAGTTTTGCTTGAGTTATTTTTGGGAGTCAAAGAATATAAATAGAGAAATGTTCCTCCAGAGAAAAAATGAGTGGGATAGAGCCCATGGGAAGTTCAATTATACAGTCTGTAGAAGGAGCAGGACAGAATGGCCAGTTTTCATTCATGAGTTTCTCATCTTCTAATCATTGGTTCAGGATTACATAAAACTAACTGCTGTGGATACAGGAAATTAATGGAGATATTTAAACCAGATATTTAAATCTTTTTGCAGAAATCCAGTTTATATCGATGCCATCATACATGGTGCAAGTTAAGTCAAATAATTCGTTGAAACAATAAGGAAGTGGATTTGTAAATTTCATATACAGCGTATAATAATAAATGAATGG